ACCAAGTCATTAAGTAACTTGCTTGGGAACATCCAGCTAGTGTGTCTCAGAACTGGGACTTGAACACTGGCCTCCCCACACTCCTTATGAAATGAAATGATGTGATGTCTATGTAGAGTGTAGCCCAGTGCCCAGCACACAGTAGGTGCACAGGAAATGTCAACTTTCCCTCAAGGGGACAGGTATGTGCAAGTGCACAGGGCAGGGTGGAGACAGATGCCGCATGAATTTCTCCTCCGGTTGTGCCATGATTGCTGTCATCCCGGCCTTCTGGGACATTTTTTTCTTACTTCTCCATGAAATTTGACTCCCATAGACGTGAGGCCTCTCTGTGGGTATTCTGTGTCTACGTCTGTGCTCTCTTCCTAAAAGGAACATCACCCAGCCCCAGAACCAGTTTTGCCCTGGTGAGCATGCCTGAGGGACGCATGCCCTTATGTCCTTATTTATTCAACAAACGACCTGGTGTGCCACACCTCAGGGGCCTGCCTGCATCATCTGTCTTTTGGTCCTTCTGTCCATCTAGGGCTCCCAGCATAAGAATTACTGTTGCCATTTGCAAGGCACAACTTAAAAGTGGTGGGAGCCTGCTGGCTGCAAAGCTTGTCCCCCCTCCCATGCCATCCAGCAGCGCTGGACTTAGGCGCAGCAGGGGCTCACCCAGATTCCTGTGAGCCGCCCCTCTTCCCTTTGTTAGAGGGCAGATGAATGTGCTTGTTCCTGCTCTGGCCAGACAGCACTCAGCACAGCCACTGAGCCCAGGAGTCAGCCCCCTGGGGCTGACTGTTAGAGGGAGGGCTAGGGCCTTGGGGACCACCCAACCAAACCCTGTACTTCTCAGACGAGACTCAGAGGGACCTAGTGGCGGTGGGACGAGGAGCCAGGCCAGGCGTTGGCACTCTGGACAGGCACAGGCAGGGAGGGGGTGTTTTCTGTACACACAGCTGTGTTGAGGCAACAGGGTCCAGGCCACGGCTGCACCTTTCAGGTGGGGCCACTCTGCCTTCATTCTGAGCAGACTGGACACCCACCAGGAGGCTGCGGAAGGCTCCTGGCCAGCAGGCTCTGACATCCGAGTGTCAGATCCTGAGGCTGGGCTGGCTGCATGTGGAGGAGGCTCTCCTGCTAGTGTGTACCTTTCCCCTGTGGTGGCCAGCCCAGCTCTGCAGCCTGGGGAGCCAGCATCTGGCTATCAGGTTGTGCCTGTCTCCAGGGACCTCGCTCTCTGCCGGTGCCTGGCTGTGGGTACATTTGGGTCAGAGACACAGGCCTCCTTGGTCTGGGCAGGTTCATTCCCCTGTGGTGCCTCAGTTTCCCCACTTATCACCCACTTATTCTTTCCTGCATTTAACTAATGTGTATGGAGCACCTACTGTGTGCTGGGTCCTATTCTGAGGGCTGATGATGCAGCAGTGGACAAGATAGACAAAACCCCTGTCTTTAGGGGCTCACGGAGAACATATAAGCCCCCTTCACAAGGTGGTACATGGGGCCTCCCAGGGGTCCCATCTGCAGTGGGCACAGCACAAGGCCCAGGGCTACTCGGAAGTCAAGTGTTTTAGTCCCTGCTCCTTCTTTTATAAACTGCATGTCTATGAACATTAATAGATTTTCTGGGTTCCATCTGATTCCTCATCTGTCAGCTAGGGGTGACAGACCTGGTCCCTAGACTGCCGTGAGACTCAGATGCGCTGAGTGATGGGGAGGTGTACGCTGTAAGGCTCGGGTACACTCTGACTTTCCTTGCTGTGACCGTGTTTACAGCTGGCAATGACCTCTCGTGCCCACTCACTGACTGGAGCCTCAGCTACCTCTGAGGTGTGTGTAGGGATTAGGCCCATTTTACAGAAGAGAGGGCTGAGGTGTGGAGAGATGGGTTGACTTGGGAGAGAAGGGTGACACTATGGGGTTAGCTCCAGCTTTGCAGTCAGGCAAGGTGGGGACTTTGCCACCTAGTTGATTTGCCACCTAGTTGATGTGTGAGCATGACTCACTTATGAAGGGGTGGATGCTGTCCTTCCCTCCAGTGGTCATGAATGTGAAATGAGATTGCAGAGCTCAAGTGTTAGGCAAATGGTATCCCACTTGGTGCTAAACCCCAGGTCTCCTGCCCTGACCAGGCTCCAGAGAGCGGGGCAAGTCCCAGCCTCCATGGAGCCTTCTGCGCATGGGGACTATTGTGGCAGGGCTGTCCCAATGAGTGCTGGGTCACTGGATCCAGAATACACACACCGTGAATGGAGCCTGCCCCAGGGTGTGTGACTTGGCTGCCCTGTGCAGGGCCTGTGTTCCCCGAGTTCCTGGCAATTATGGACCATGACCTTGGAGATTAAGTGCTGGTGGGTCCAGCTGGCCACCGAGGTGACAGGAGGTGGTGTTTAGGGCCACTCCACATCTGCCCTGTAAGCAAACTTCCTGCTGTATGCTGAGCTCACAGGGCCCCTGGGCCCTGCCCTGCCAGCTGTCCCCCTCAGAGCTTAACTAACTGGGAGAGGGCAGGCAATGACCAGAAGGTGAACAGGCCAGGAGATGTGGGGGCTCTGGAAACCCCACTACTTACATTTTTCTGAGGGCTGACAAAGCTTCTCCACATTTTTCCTTCCCTGCATCTGTGCAATGGGAATTATTATCCCATTTTATATGGAGGAGAAAAGGGTTCAGAGACTGTGTGTGCGGGGAGCGGGTCACATAGCAAGAGAACTCAGCTTGCCTGACACCAGGAGCACTATTCTTTGTCTTGCCCTCTCCTGCAAATGCCTCTGGGTGCTCAGAGAGGGCAAGGGCCCTGCTGGCTTCCTCAGCAGGGCTCCTGGCTGATGTCCTGTGTTCTACTGCTACCCAGGCTGGGTTCAAATCCAGGTTTCCATCAACCTGCTCTGTCACCCTGGTCTGTGATGCGGAGCAGTGAGCCTGCTTCCCTGGTGGCTTGGGCCAAGAAGACATAGTACCTGAGAAGGCTGTGTCCCCCGCAGGTGCTGGATGCTTCCTGGAGGAGGCAGCAGCCAGTTCCCAGCACAGGTCCCTGGTGTGTAATCCCATCCCCCACCTCTTCTGTCCCCTTTGCTGGCTTCCTGCTACTGGCCCCTCCTTGGTCTCCACAGCAAGACCACTGGTGTGTGCAATGGGAATTATTGATTCCCCAGCCAGCTCCATGCTGACTCGGACTTTCTGAGCCTGTGCAGGCTTACCTTACAGGACACCTGTGACAAGAGGTCCTGGCCCCACCCCTCCTTGAAGCCCTTCGACATATGAATGGCCCCTATTGGTGCAGCATGTGCTACAAGACTTCTTGCATCATCTGACTTCATTTTCACACTATCTGATGAGATAGATGCCATTATTGTCCCCATTTGACAGATGGGGAAAATGAAGTCCTGAGTATTGGAGTTACTGAGCCAGGATCTCCCACCCAAACCATGGCAGAGCCATGGCTGAACCAGCTGGTGCTCAGAATCAGGACCAGCTGAGGGACTCAGTGTCAGGAGTAACCTTCAAGATCACCTAGTCAGTCCCGTATCTGTCAGTGTCCCCCAAAGCTGTAGCAGCCTGGCCACAGGCCAGTGACCCTCCCACCCCCCAGGCCTGGGCAGGGAGGCACTTGACCCTTGAAGATGAGCTACCCACCAGGGCGCTGAGAGGCAAGAGCCAGTCTCACTCCTGCCAGTGTTGGTGTGGCTTGTTCTTGGAACCTGGCCTGCAGAGCTTCAGAGGACCTGGTCTTTGTCTCAAGTCCCTGAGGGTGGTTCAGTGGCTCAGGGTGGGGGCGGGGAACAGGCTCACAAAAGCTAAGCCTTACAGGGTAAAGGTGGTGGGCTCGGGACATGGCAGACTCCCACTCCTGGAGGTGGGCACATAGAAGTAATGTCCGGGCAGGCCTGCCATAGCTAGGCCCCAAGCACCCAGAAGTCCCACTCTGCCCTGAGCCTCGCAACTCTGATCTTGCAAAGGATTTTTCGGTCAGCTGTCCGCGTCTTCCTGTTCATGGAGCATGGCTCAGTGATCCAATGACATCCCTGAACTCATGCCCTCTGCCCCCCCTGCCCTGGGACAACTGGGCAGTGTCTGTGCAGTGACAGAGAAGAGCCCCATAAGGACAGAGCCAGGAGTGGGAGCTTGACCTGGGGAGGGACACATCGGAACACATCATGAGGGGACTGCGCAGCAGAGGAGCGTGCTGGGGAGAGCCTTTCCCGGCAGAAGGAACTGAGGCGGCAGGAGGGCAGGCTGCGCATGCCCAGTGTCAGCTGTGTTCATGGGGCACGCAGGGGCTGCTCGGATCTGGACCGTGAGCTTGGTGCGATGGCGCACGCCTGTCATCCCAGTAGCTCGGGAGGCTGGGGCAGGAGGACTACAAGTTCAAAGCCAGCCTCAGCAATTAAGTGAGGCCATGTCTCAAAACATAAAAGAGGGGGAAAAAAAGCCCCAAAACAAAACAACAGGCAGGGGTTCAACCCCTGGTTTTAAAAAAAGAATCTGGACTGTGGCATGAAGCCTTCCCCACCTCTCGCCCCCCGCACACAGCAGGGTCTTGTCCTGGCCTGGGCTAACAGCCTTTCTTCTTTCTGTAGGACCCCAAAGGTGGTTGCCATCCCTACATACGAGGAGGTCACACACTGCCCACTGGCTGAGGGGCCCCCAGCACCAACTGTGTGCCCCAAGGAGGAAGGCCGGAGGTGTGGCGACGCAGGGGATGCCCTGCTGGGGACTCCGCCCCCCTTGGCTCCGCCCAGCTACGAGAGCGTTTTCCTTGCTCTTGATGCCTGTTCTGGAGACACAACACCTGCTCCAGGTGCTGCATGCTCCTTCCCAGGCCTGGCTCAGACTGCAGGGCGGGATGGGGCGAGTTACAGGCTCCTCGCAGGCCCTGAAACTTGCATCAAAAATGATGTGTCATTTCCAGGGTCTCCTCCGGTGCCTGGTATGCAGTAAGCACCCAACCATATGTCTGTTGCTAAATGCTGTTTTAAGAGTCTATTATTGTACAACAAACCACCCCAAAGTTTAGTGAGTTAAAATAAATCCTATTTTATTATGTCTCACAATTCTGTGCCTGGCTGGTTTCCGTGGTTCTTCTGCTCCGTGTAGTATCTTAGAGGGTGCAGTCATCAGGGGCCCAACTGGGATAGAACATCCAAGTTGGCATGTTCACAGTGCTGGCGCCTGGTGCTGGCCGGCATCTAGAAGAAAACACAGGGCCCCAGAGGCAGAGGTGGAACTGGCCCAAGATCACACACCAAGTTTATGACCAAAAGAACATGGACTTTGAATCCAGACCACTTGTGTAGGGATCCTAGCACATTCCAACCTTGGTGATGTTGAACAGTAGCCTTCCCTGCCTTGGTTTCCTTGTCTGTAAAGCAGAGTTGAGAATCACAGTGGCACAAGCCCCACCTGGGACTGCTGAGTTGGGGATGGCAACAGTGGATACAGAGAGCTTGCATGGAGCCTCAAGCTCAGCGCCAATGTGGTGCATAATAAATGCAGGTTTTCTAGGTATGCAAGCTTTATTAATAGAGGTAATATCCCTTTACCAAGTGCAAGATGCCCCTGCTGCACACCTCCTGCTTTCCAAATGTGCCAGAGGTATCTACTTCCTGTCCAACTACACTCTGCAACTCAAAGGCTCCACCCCACCCCACTTCCCATGAGAAATCCAACTCGATGAGATTACCTGACCTTCCCAGCAAGCAGGGGTTCCAAGGCTGTGGGAGGCCATCCTTGTACTTGATTTGAGTTACCTCCCTGGCTGGGTGAGAGGTGCTTAGACACAGCTGTGTTATAGCTATTCCCCACCCTTCTCCAGGTCTGAGGGCTTGTCCGTGCAGAGGCGTGTCTGGCCACTTCCTGGAAGACCCAAATCGTCACCCCTGACCTTGGGATGCTGCCCCCCTTAACCCTCATTGGATGGGATTTTTTCTGGAATTTTTTGTTCCCCAATAAAAGCCCACTCCCTGGCATGTTTTCTCTCTCTCTCTCTCTCTCTCTCTCTCTCTCTCTCTCTCTCTCTCTCGTCTCTTCTATAAACCTCGCCACCGCCTTGGAGCTGGTATTAAAGGTAATTAGAGTCTTGTCTCTTTAATTTAGAACTCCCTAGCGTTTACTCATGAATCGAACCTTCTTTCATGAAGCCAGCACTGGGCGTGTGGCAGACAAGGCCTGGGGCTCAGTCAACAGGATAAGGGCAGCAGCCATAACAGCATGCCATATGCCATTGTTTCCCACCTGCAAAACCACTCCTTACAGGTGGTGTGTCCCCATTTAACAGGTGAGAAGACTTCATCAGAAAGGCAAAATCTCAGCCATGTGCAGTAGTGCACGCCTGGTAATCCCAGAAGTTGGGGAGGCTGAGGCAGGAGGATTGTGAGTTCAAAGCTAGCCTCAGCAACTTAAGAAGGCACTAAGCAACTCAGCAATCCTGTTTCTAAATATAATATTAAAAAGGGCTGGGGATTTGGCACAGTGGTTGAGTGCCCCTGAGTTCAATCCCTGGTAGGCAAAAAAAAAAAACCAACTCAGAGAATAAAGTTACAGCCAGTGTTTTTTTGAGGCCTGGGATCTCCCACCAGTGCCTAGACATTGCCATCACTGCCACCCAGGCTCCTGCTTCTGCCTGTCCTGGCTGCAGTCTCCTCAGCCCAGGGGCCAAGGTGAAGCTGGTCAAATGCAGATCAGATCAGGCTCAGAACCGGTACCCACCTCACTCTGAATAACGAAAGCCACTGCACTGGTCTGGGAACAGGTCTGGTCTCCATCCCAACCTCCCATCTCCTGCCTCCCTTTCCCCACATATCCTCGCTCTGTGCAGCCAGGCTCCTAAGCTCTGCACCCTCCCTCCTTCTAGAAGTTCTTCCTCATCCCCCTGTGGGCTTTTGGAAGGAACCCTCTCCCTCCCCAGCCCTGGAATCGCAGTCCCAGATCCCCCTCAGTGCCTCCCTCCCTTCTTCTCCCCTGGTACCCCTTCCCCTTCCCAGGTATCCCCAGGGCAGTGTGGGAGTGGCCTCCCTTTCTGTGTGACCTTGGCTGTGCCAGGGGACCTCCTATCTGCAGTTCCTAACAGGTGGGAGCTTCTGCCCCCAGAGTGAGGAATTTCCCCGGGGGCAGGTGAGTTAATGAGTTGCAGGTGTGAGCAGAAGGCCCCACTTCTCCCGGCAGGAGCAGAGGGGGCAGGGTGGGAGCACTGGGCAGCCAGAAGGACATTTCCACTTTCTCTCACATCACTCATCTGTGCCTTAATCAAAAGCCCTCAGGAGGGACAGTGACACACTCAAGGTTACCAGCTGTGTGGAGGCTCAGCCAAGGCCACATCCAAGGTCTCCTGACAGAGGCATGTTGCTGTCCCCTTCTGAGCTGCAGTGGCCTCACTGAAAACTCAAGATCCTGTGTCCACTACAGGTAGCCCCATCAAGGAGCCTCACGAGGGCCAGGTCTGCCACTTGGCGGTCCCTGGTGGCACCAGTGGGCTTCCTGCCTGGCTGTCTAGCGCCTTCACCCCACACAGACACCATCTTGTGCTGGTTGCTGGAGACCCAGATGTCAGGGACCCTTGGAGCTCAGCCCCCTCCTGCACCTTCCCTGGGCTCCTCCCAGCTTCCGTTACCCAGGTAACGCCTTCCCTTGGAGGTTCCACCTGCAGTCGGCCTAGTGCAGTCAGAAACCTCACCTGCTACTCCTCTGTTGCTAACTATGCTCATTTGGATGGTTCTCTCCCTAAGTGAAAAATTAAGCGATTCTGTCTCCCCTGCACAACCCTGCAGCGGTTCCTTTGACCTTTTAAAGAACGACATATACCTTCGCATGACCCGGGAAGTTTCCTGCCTCTACTTCCCTCTGGCCTTCCTCTGCCCTGCTCCTTACAGTCCATCCTTCTACTCACAAATACCATCTAGAGTGTCCCCTGGTCTAGCCCCATGGACACAGCTGTGAACAAAACAAGGCTGCCACCCTGCGCGAGAGCTTGGGTTCCCCTCGAGAGAGACAAGAGACAGATAAACTGATAATGGGTGTAGAGTGATAGATGGTATGAATACTATGGAGAAAAATGAGCTGGGGAAGGGGGACAGGACACCATTGGGGAGGGGCGTCTGTGATTTTAGGGTATGACCAGGAAGAGCTCACTGTAAAGGAGACATTTGGTGGAATACCTGGAGGAGCTCAGGGAAGGAGCCACGTAGCTATCTGGAGGAAGAGCTTTCCAGGCAGAAGAAGGGCAGGGGTAAAGGTCCTGGGGTACCTGTGCATTCCCAGAACAGCAGTGAGCCGGGGAGGTCAGAGGAGTGAGTGTTGAGCTCAAGGGGTGATGAGCAGGTTACTGGGCACATTATCCAGGGCTTTGGGTCATCCTGGATTTTTGGCTTTTACTCTGAGAGCCAAAGAGCTATTCCAAGGTTTTGATCAGAAGAGTGACCTAGTCTTTGGGTTAGAAAGAGACTTCCTGGGTTGAGGATGGAAGCAGAGACTAGGTAGGGGGAGAGAAATGACGGAAGCCCAGCCCAGGGTGATGAGCAGTGAGTGGGTGAGAAGTGGCTGGCTTCTCATATCCTGAAGGTAGGGCCAGCAGGATATGGGGGTGAGAGAGGATGGTGGTGGCTGGATATCCAGGTGGGTGTCCTGGTAACTCACGGGAAGGATGGAGTTGGTGTGGGAAGGCAGGTCCGGGAGGAGTAGGCAAGATGGACCAACTGTGCATAGCATGTGGCCTTGTCTCCAGCCATGGGTCAATGGGCATCTGCCTCTGGGCCATTGCACATGTTGGCCCCTTTCCTGGATGTTCCTCCTGCCCTGTCACAGGAATCCCTTCTGTGAATTTGTCCCCACTCTGGTCTTATCTGGCTCTTTGTTTTATGCATGTGCTGACCTCATGCTTATTACAGCCTTTGTCATACTGTGCGGCAGAAGGTAGGACTAAGCACCCCCAATACTGTGTTGATCAGAATGCCTTACACCTCAGTGTCCCGCACGTGGTAGGAGCCCAACCAGAGACTGACTGAGGCCCTGGTTTGAATTTAGCTGTGCCGCCCTGGGTGGCTCACCTTGCCTCCCTTACCTTGCCTGCATGGGCCTCATTTCTGCGACTGTCAACTGGGTATGCTCTTTCCCTACCTGCCTCTTGTGGGATGGTTCTTCCCCACGAAGGTAAGTAGTTGAATCCCTTTAGACAGGAAGATGTTGTGAGCCCAGGTGTGGCTGGCGCGCCCCCTGCTGGAGGGTGACTGGAGGCTCAACAACTCCCCTCGCCCCGCCCGCCGCCCCTCCGCCTGGGTTCACGGGGGAAGGGAGAAGTCAGAGGCGAGGAGGGCTTGCGGGGAGCAGGAACCGCCCGGAACATTTTCCAAAACAGGTGCACACATTCTTCCATTTAGTTCTTATCACGACTCTTTGGAGAAGATTAGATTAGACCCATTTTTCTTTCCCTTCTTTCTTTTCTTTTCTTTCTTTCTTTTTTTTTTTTTGAGAAGCGACTCAGATTAAAAAAAAAAAAAAAGTAAAGAAGGCTGATTCGTGAATAAAGAAAGGTCGGAGTTGCGAGAAAGTGTACGGGGACCCAGGAAGGCCTCCCAGGAATGGCTAAAAGTCAGGTCCCTCTACACTGGGATTGGGGGTGCGTTGGTTCCGGTCACAGCTCAGCCCTCCAGCTCAGTTTGGGAAGATATTAAGCAACCCCTACACTCCTTGGTCTCGGTTTCCTCATCCCTGCGCCCCCCCCACCCCACTCCCGGCTGTTGCCACCTCCTAGGGGGCTGCAGGACGGCGGCCGACCACCGCAGGATGTGACAGGAGGGTGTAAGCACGTGTTGTGGCGGCCATCAGGGGGCGCACGAGGCCCTGCTGGACCACAGCGATCCATTCAGTGGCCAGTCCCTCTGCCAGATTCTAGGACCGGGTAGGCTGCCGTTCCTCTGGGTTTTGGTCTCTTTTTCTGGGATCAACATCAGCTGGGGGACCCTGGATTTATTGCTTCCTATCTCTGAGCCTCTGTAAAACAAAGGTCCTGACTTGTGAATAGTCTCAGATTACTTCCCCTCCCTTATGTCATTTCCAATTCACAGGTGACAAAACTCACATCCACATGCGTGCGGCCAGGGTTCGATCCTCAGCACCACATACAAAACGAAGATGTTGTATCCGCCGATAACTAAAAAATAAATATTAAAAAAATATATTTAAAAAAAAAAAAAAAACTCACATCCACCTGCCTAAATTTACTCTGGAGCCAGATCTGGAGGTGATCCAATATCTTAGCCTTCAGTGATCTCTTGGGCAGGGTCCTCTGCCCTCTGTGCCAGGGGACCTCCTATCTGTAACAGGCAGACTGAACCAGTAATAGAGAAGCCCCTCCTGGAAAAAGGGTCTGTGGGAGGAACGCCAGGCAGAGTGCATGTTGTGAGCCTAGGTGTGGCCTGAGGGAACAGCACAGGCTGCCAAGGAGGAGGGAGAAGTTGCTGACCACAATTTCCAAAACTTGAAAGCCTAGTATCCAAATGACACCCTCCACCCTACATCAGCAGTTCAACCCTGCAAGAACTCCAGGGCATGTTCTCCTAGAGACGCCCCTGGCCCTCATTCTGCAGTCCCAGGAGAGAATCTGACTTCTCCCATCCGCTGTCCCAGAACTGACAATCCACCAGTAGAATGTTATTCTCTGGATCAAGGCACCTTCTCAGGCTGGGCTGTGAGGACCTTAGGAGGTTGTTCTGGGTCATTCACACCCTGCAGGGGCATCAATTCACAACAACCCTTTGGGGTTAGGGACAGCTCGTTATAAGCAGGTCTGGATGGTGCATAGCATATGAAGGGGACATGGAGGCTAGGCCTGGAGACAGCTCTGCCCTGGGAGGGACTCTTATTATCCCTATCTTACAGAGGAGGACACAGAGGCATAGGCAGCTAGTTTGATTGAGACCACACTACCCAAGATGGTGGAGCCAGAATCCAAACCCAGACCCTGTGCTGTGGTGCAGCAGTTTGCACCGTGGCCAGGGCATGGGCTCTGGGCTCCTGTTCCAGCTGCTCTGCTATTTCTACTTTGTGTGACGTTGGTCAAGTTACTCATCTGGGCCTCAATGTCCTCATCTATAAGGTGGGAATAGTGGTGACTCCTTGCTTCATGGGGCTCCACTTCAGTGCAGTGGCAGCTGTAATGTTTCTAGAAGTCACCGTTCAGTAGATATGGGCTGTGCCTGCTGAACCCCAGATGAGCACAGGGCTCTACAATGTCAAGTTGCAGGATGCTGGCCTCCTCCAGTGGCATTCCAACCTGCAGGATGGTTCCCTGCTTCCCATGGCTGGCAGGTGTGGAGCCGCCTGGTCACACACTCAGCCCCACACTAGGCAAATGAGGTGATGTCAAAGCCTTGGCTGGGGCCCAGCCTCTGCAGCCTCCCTGTCCCTCCCTGCTCCTCCCTCCCTCAGATCCACACACACACAGTCGGGGCGGCTGGGCCCAGAGGGAAGGTGAGAGGGCCAGGAGTGAAGGTGGACGGCTGGGCGTGCCTGCCCATTGGTGCATGCCACTTCCAGCCGGGCTGAGCTGCTGGACCTGGGATTGGGAACTGGCCCCCAAGGGATCCTGCTCTCTTTAACTTTAAGCCTCAATTTGCAGCAATCCCAGAGCTTCGCCCCTCCCTGGCGTGCCTGTGGGGGTTAGCATGTGATTGTCGCACTCCCTCTGCTGGGGGTGCACTGGCCAGGGCCTGGCCAGGTGGCCATGGCTGATGAGAAGACCTTCCGCATTGGCTTCATTGTGCTGGGGCTGTTCCTGCTGTCCCTTGGCACCTTCCTCATGAGCCACGACCGGCCCCAGGTCTACGGCACCTTCTACGCCATGGGCAGTGTCATGGTGATGGGAGGCGTTATCTGGAGCATGTGCCAGTGCTACCCCAAGGTAGGCAGTGCAGGGGCTGGGGGGGGGTGGGATGGGCTGGGGCCAAGGGTGCTGGCTGTGCCTCATTCCATGCGCCTGTCCCCATCCTTAGACCTCTCCATCCTTCCACTGGACTCCTGGGTTTCTTCTGCTCTCGGTAGCCTCCATTTACTCACCCGTCCATACTCACCCTGAGGGCTGATCAGAAGCCACTGGGCCCAGAGGCCAGAACCAGAGTCACGGGGGAGACAGTGGAGCACAGACCTGTCCTGGTGCATGGTTCCAGAGGCTGACGAGTGCTCGCCGCACCAGGCTCTCCTGGTCTGTGGTGCCCGTCTCTGTGGCTCCACGGCAGAGCAGAGAGGCCGAGGCTCCAAAAGGCGAGGCCCCAGAGCTGAATAGCAGAGTCTGGGCTGGAGAGTGTAAAGGGCAGTCCTCCACCTTCTGGATCCCGGAGCCGCTGAGAGTCCTGGGGTGGGCCAGGCCTAACCCCGGTGCATGTGCTTTTTCAGGGTTTTATATATTCCTAAGCCTGGTGAGCCCTCTAGTTTAGGCAAGAACCCTGGTTCTGGAGTTCTGTGTTCTGGCTCCAGCTCTGTTCCAAACTCTGTGTGACCTTGTCTCTCTGAGCCTTAGTATCATCATCAGCAAAATGGGGCCCCAAGTCTCTTCTGCAGCCTTGTGGGTTATTATCATCAGAGCTGGAGTACAGGAATACTTGTAATTTACAGAGTGTTATAATTAGGTAAAATGCTGCGTTGTTGCTGTTGTTGATCCTGGACGTGTCAGGACTGTAAAACTTCCATACCCAGAGAGGTTGGGTGACTCTTCCAAGGTCACTTGGCAGGTCAGAGACAGACTCGGAGAGACAAGGATCCTCTGTTTTCTCAATTGTACAATTTGTGAGCAAAGAAGACAGGGTTTGGGGGGACGTCTGAGGCCCTGCTGAGCCTAACTTGGAGAGCTCCAGGTCCAGGCAGATCAGCCTCCCAGCCCCCAGCCCCTCCTCTCCTCCCACAAGAGTTCAGAGCAGGGAAGAGGCTTGGGCTGGCCCAGTCTCTCCCAATCCTGCCTTCTTTGTGGGCCAGCCCCGGGGTGTCAGTGTGTTGGCAGCTGGGGCGGTCTGAGCTGGTTTGTGGTCATTTACCAAGCAGTTTACAGTCAACTCTCCTCTGTCCCTGCAATGCCCCAAGTAGAGGTCACTGGGAGAAGAGGGCCTTGGGGCCAGAGCCTTCACGTCAGAATCCTCCTCCCCGAGGGAGGAGCTAGACCTGGGCGAGGGCCAGGGGACATGCAGGGTAGCATCCTTCCTGCTGCTGCCTTCCCCAGAGGTGGCCCGGGTGACCAGGGTGGCAGTGGGTGGGATACTGCTGGGTTTTAATGAGCTCTTGTTGATGGGCTCACATGCTTATGTGCTGTGGGGGCAGCATAGTCGGGGGAAACCCACGCCTTCCAGCTCCCACAGGCCCGGATGTAAACCCCTGCTTCCTCTGTCACCACTGTGGCCTTGGCAGAGGGGTCACCTTTGCCAGCACCCTGTGTGGCCAGGTGGGGGCATGCATGGGGGATGAGGCACCACCCTGGCAGAGCTGTTGCTCTGGACACACGTGCTGGTGGCACTGGGTGGGTTGTGGGTGAGTCCAGGGGTGTGGGACAGTCCAGGTCTGTGTGTGTATCGCAGGGACTCAGGTATTAGACCTGGAGCAGGCTGGCTCCAAGAAAGGGAAGGAGAAAGGGTTTCATAAAGGAGGGGGATGCTTGGGGGTCCTACACGGTCCACCGGAGTCTGGGCCGCTGTAGCCGGTCCTCCCTGGAGCCCCTCCCCTGGCTCTCAGGGCCCATGGAAAGCTTCAGAGAAGGAATTTTCTGGATGGAATGAAATATAAATATAAGGAAATTAAATCAGCTGATAAAGATGAAGGTGAGGAGGAGCATTACCCACATGAATGAAGCTGTCTCTGTCTTTGAGGAGCTGGAGATCTAGTAGGAGAGACAGCTTTCTGCCTGAGGGGGAAGAAGCAGGCTTCGTGGAGCGGCTGAGCTGGGCTTTGTCGGTCACAGAGGAAGGCAGTCGAGGCAAGGCCCCCCAGACAGGAGAGCCACAGGGCCAAACACACATGGAGAACGAGGCAGATGAGCCAGTGTGGCTGCTGAAGGGCGAGGGGAGGAGGGTACAGGTGGGGAGGAGTGGGCTTGGCTCCTGGGGCCTGGATGCCATGTGAGGCTTTTGGACCTTACACTTTAGGCTGATGGGGCAAGGAAAGGCCATGGTTAGCTTTGCAGTGTGATAAGGTTATCAGGCTGACATCCGGATGGAGAATAGCCTGGGGTCGTGAAATAGCGGGGGAGTGTTTCTGATCTACGTGAGAGATGATGGTCGTCTGGACTGAGGCAGAACTTGAACCCAAGGCTGTAGGATGGGAGAAGACATTTCCGGTCTCCCACGCAGGTGTGGAGTGCCTACCGTGGCCAGGCCAGCTCCAGCACCTCACCTGGGTTATCTCGTGGAATTTCTAAAGCACTCCTGGTCAGATCTGGGCATGAATTGGGCCTCAGGACTGGGAGAGGGGCAGATCTAGTTGGGGAGCCCTTGGACATGCTCAACCTAATAGCTCGGATGGTTCCAGGGAGCTGGAGAAGGGGAGGAGTGGCAGGGAGAGCAGAGCCTGGCCCCCAGGACCCCCTCCTCACTTGGCCTGGGGCCTGGTGGTCGAGGCACCTGAGCAGTCCATGGGCTTCCCTCTCTCCTTCCTCCCTCCAGGACTCCTCTGTGTTCTGCCTATGCATGTCTGACTGGGGTCTTCTCCCGGGAGCCCTCCAGAGCACCCACTGCATCTAGATGAAGGCTGAGCTCCTTAGCTTGACGTTCCGGGGGTTGGTCTCCACCGTCTGGCCTCCCCCCAGCTCTGCCTGAACCCGTTCTTCCCCTCAGAACAAGAACTTGTGTTCTAAGATGCTGCCTCCTCCCCACCCCCTCCAGGCTTACTTTAATGCTGTTGCTGCTGATGGTGACGCTGATTGACAGTGATGGTGGCAGTGATGGTGGTATGACAATGACAATGATGGTGTGTGTGATAGGGACAGTGATGATGCTGATGGTGAGGATAATGAGGTGAAGATGGTGATATGATGGTGATGGCGATGATGGTGATGGCAGTGATTGACAGTGACAATGGTGTTGATGGTGATGGTGATGACTGACAGTGACGATGATGGTGGATGATAGTGAAGGTGGTGATGGTGACGGTAAGGATAACGATGGTGAGGGTGAGGGTAAGGGTGGGGATGATGATGGTTATGGTATTGGAGGTGATGGCGATGATTGACAGTGATGGTGGTGTTGATGGTGATGGTGATGATTGGCAGTGACAGTGGTATTGATGGTGATGGTGATGATTGACAGTGATGATGGTGTTGATGGTGATGGTGATGATTGACAGTGATGGTGTTGGTGATGGTGATGGCGATGATTGACAGTGACAGTGGTGTTGATGGTGATGGCGATGATTGACAGTGACAATGATGTTGATGGTGATGGTGATGATTGAGTGACAGTGGTGTTGAAGGTGACAGCAATGATTGACAGTGACGGTGGTGTTGATGGTGATGGCGATGATTGACAGTGACGATAATGGTGGATGATAGTGAAGGTGGTGATGGTGATGGTAAGGAGAGTGATGGTGAGGGTGAGGGTAAGGATGGGGATGATGGTGGTTATGAGATTGAAGGTGACGGTGATGATTGACAGTGATGGTGATGATGATGATTGACAGTGATGTTGGTGGTGACAGTGAAGCTGGCTGGCTACACAGCATCCTTGGTAGGGGTGGGAGATGCCCAGACCCTGCCTTATTTTTAAACATCTGGGGGAAGTTCACCCCTCACAGGGGCCTAGGAACCCCCACCTATCATTCCCTTCTCCTCATCAGAACTGAGCTTCTCTGGCAGACGAGGGCCTTCTACTCACAGCACTCCGTGGGAAGGGAGGAGGGGGCTGCTACTTATGGGCCTGGTATTATACAGGAGGGTCTCAACAAATAGTTGCTTAAAAGTTTTTCAAAAAATATTCCCTCTGAAGAGAGGGAAGCCAGGCGGCTTTGTCTTGCAGAGCGCAGTCTGAGGTTTGCTGAGGGCCAGCTGTGCGTCAGGCGCCGGGCCCAGAGGCTCCTCATGAATGGCCTTCTGGAAACTTCGCCACGACTGTGGGAGACAGGAAGAACCAGCACCATCTTTAACAACTGTGGTAAAATCACAAACATAAAATGAACAGTCTCAAACACCATCAGAACATAGTTCTGTGTTGTTTGGTCTGTTCAGGGTGGTGCGGAATCCTCCAGAACTTTCCATTTTGCAAAAGTAAACTTTCTACCCACTAAACAGCACCTCCCACCACCCCTCTCCCTGTGTGCCCCTGTGCTGTCCCTCGTCCCGGTACCTCAGCTATGTGGAATCTCCCTGGGGTTGTCTTCCTGTGTCTGGTTTATTCCACTCGGCGGGCCCTCGAGCTCCCCCCATGTTGTGGCGTGGCAGAACTCCCTTGGTCTTCAAGGCTGAGCAGGGCTCTGCTGTGCATATTTACCAGGTTGGGTTACCTGCTCACTTGTCAGGAGATGCCGGGTGGCCGCCACCTTTTGATTTTTGTGCACAATGCTGCTCTGAGCACAGAGGCTACCCCACAATCCAGAACAGCACAGAGGAGCTCTGGGCGGAGCATGACCTGCCCAGGGAAGGATCCTCACCCAGCGTCCCAGACCCCAAAGGCAGGGCTCCTCCACCACCCAGTGCCCCCACCTGGAGCTGGACTCATGGAACCCACTGAACCTCTGGAAGTTCAGGGACAGAGACTGGAGGGTGTAACTGAAGCCACCCCTTTTTCTGTCCCTCTACTGCAACCTCTGAGCCACAAAACACATGACCTGCTTCCCACTCATTCATCAGATATGGATGAAATGCCTACTGTGTGCTGGGCATGTGCAGGGGACACTAGAAGAAGGCCCTGGGGATGACTGAGCTGTGAGCTCAGGGCAGGTTGTTGCACTCACTCGTCTGTGACCATGATGCCCGGGAGAGTGCCTGCACACAGCAGGTGCTCAGTAAATGTTGGGAGAACGAAGAAGAGTCAAGATGAGAACAGGAGCCTGGAATCCATCTGCCCAGGACTGCTACTGCTGTGCCCTGAACAGCCTCCTCCCTTGTCCAAAGCTGGGGGGGGTGGGTCCTGCCTGGTCCAGCTTCTCTCCCAGGGTGTGTGGACAGGTTTGCATGACTCCAGGGAGAGGAGGAGGAGACAGCGGACTCCCCCACCTCACTGTTGTCACCTGCAGAAAGGCCATCTCCTCTTTGCCTGCAGATCGCCTTCGTACCCGCGGACTCTGACTTCCAAGGCATCCTATCCCCGAAGCCCCTGGGCCTGTTGGAGAATGGGCTTGCCACAGAGGTGAAGAGGTAGGTATGGGGGCAGTGGTCAGCCACGTAGACCAACCTCCCCCAGAGAAGCCAGTGGGGTAGGCTTTCCCTTCTCCTTGAGCAGGGCCCAGCCTTGCCTTCCTCCTTCCTGAGAACACACTGTCAGAAATCATGGGTTACGCATTATTACTCCCATTTTACAGAAGTGGAAATGGAGGCTCAGAGAAATCTCATGGGGAGTTGGTGATGGAGGTGGGGCCTGAACTCTGGCTACTCTGGCCCCCAACCTGCCTTTCCCCTGGAGGTGCCAAGCCCTGGCCCTTGCTCTGTGCACAATCAAGAGCACTCTGGCCTCAGCTACCCAGGTGTGACCTGGAACTCTGAAGGCCAGGCTGTGGGCCCAGGTTGTCAGGCCTTAGAGGCTCACTCTATTTTGCTTGGAGATGGTAGTGACGATGGCATTTGCTGCTCCTGCAACAGAGTGAACACATCTCCCACTGGGAGTGCAGTGGTGGACCTGGGTGGGCATGGGAACATCCCAAACTCTCTTGGGTCACAGGGCTAGTTATAGGAGTGAGCTGCTGTGACAGCTGGGGCTCAGGCCACCCTGGTCCTGGCCTGTTTCTTGTCATCTCCCAGTCATGGGACCTTGGGCAGGGGACTTTGTCTTCGAGCACTAGTGCTGCATCTCCACGGGCGCAAGCCAGCTTCAGTCCCCATGCCTGGGTTTCCCCATGGCACCTCTAGAGTCACGGGGCAATTAGAAGAGCTGAGCCCCAGCCGGCCCTCTAGCAGCCCTCAGAGCCTTGGGTTCTTATGGCCAATACACTCCCATCTCTAAAATGGAATGGTAATTTCTGCCTCCAGGTGTTGTTCAAAATAACAGGATGATGCTGTTGGGCACCCACAAACTCCCCAAGTAACTGGCCTTATTTTGCCATCACACCCTTTGGAGACACCAAGTGAAAGTCAGAGGTGGGGTCAGGCCTGGATCCTGCACTTAATTTACTCACCTTCCTTGCCTCTGCCTCCTCATCCATGAAGTGGATCCAGGGATGCCCCCTGAAGCTTCTTGTGAGGTTCAGGGCGATCATGTAACAGAGCAAGAGGACAGGGGAAGACAGATGCCGAGGCCAGCTGCGTGCCTCGTTGCCCACCCGCCTCTTCTCTCTCCTGCTCTGTCTGCTCCCTGCAGCCCCCAGGCCCCCTACGTCAGGCTGTGGGAGGAGGCGGCCTACGACCAGAGCCTGCCTGACTTCAGCCATATCCAGATGAAGGTCCTGGGCCATAGCGAGGATCCTCGCCCATTGCTGGCCCCTGAGACACAGCCAAGAACCAGCGATGGAGAAGCAGGTGGCCCGCAGGATGCCCAGGCCTGGGTGGAGGCCGCTGTGGTCGTCCACAGGGGCTTGGATGAGAATGAGGAGGAAAGACACGGAACTCAGAACAGGCCTGGGTGAGCGCAGAGCTCGGAGCAGAGGCTGCCCAGCTCCAGGGCCGGGGAGGGCGGGGATGTGGGACCCTAGATGGGGGGACAGGACACTCGGGACAGAGGGGAGGGAAGTGGCGGTGCAGGACACTCAGAGCAGCAGGCAGAGTGGTGACAAGGAGTCAGGCCAGGGTGGGAATCCCAGCTCCCTGCTGCGTCTCCTTGGCAAGTTTCCTGCTCTCCTGAGCCTCAGTTTCCCCAGTGGGAAGTCACTCCTACCACACAGGGCTGTTGTAGAATAGGGACACAGTAAGCCCTTGCTTTCTCTGAATGTTGTCATGGGTAGCAGCGATCCTGGAGCCAGAGGACCCAGGATCAAATCCTGACCCTGCTGCTGACTTGCCCTGTGACCTCCAGCAACTGGGCTCTTAGATTCATCCATTTATTTGCTTATTGCATTATCGATTCTGGGCACCAACTCTCTGCCAGGCCTTAACTGGCCTCCTCTCTAGCCTTCAAGAACTCCCAGTCCAGTTGGGGAGGCAGACGAAGGAACAAAGGGACCCCTGGTGTGTCAGGGGCTGTGAGGGACCAGGGGAGAACCCCGGATGATTGGGGAAGTGCAGAAATGGCCTGGTTTGGATAATACCATAAGAGCCCTGCTTCTTGAGCACTTACTACGTGGTAGAAATCATGCAAAGTGCTCTGTACATATTATCTGCCATAAACTCAGCAACAACCAGTGGAGGGAACACTTATTTCCCCTGCTTTATAGGAGAGGAAGCTGAGCCCCAGAGAGGTGAGCTGGCCTCCCCCAGGCCTTGCAGTGGGGGCTGGCTCTGGGCCCAGGCAATCTGACTAAGAGCTACTCTCTGCCTCTGCAGCTCCCCAGCCTGTCCCCAGGGCCCTGCGCCCTTGGCCTCCTTCCAAGATGACCTGGACTTGGGCTCCAGTGAAGGTAGCAGCCCCAACCCATCTCCACCTGCTGGGGAGGAACCTCACCCCCTAGCACAGAAGCACCGGGCCTGCAGGAGCACACGGAACCGCTTCTATGACTTTGCCTTAATTGATGATGCTTCTGTGTCAGAGGATGGGCCCCGAGAGGGGCAGCAGTGGGAGACAGCCCTGCCCAGCAACAGCTGGCATCAGTACCCAAGGACAAAGGAGGTGGAGGAGGAGAAGGCTGTAGACGCAGGTGTGGAGGAGCCCGAGGAGGAAGAGGAAGACTTGTACTATGGACTGCCAGACAGCCCTGGGGACCCTCTCCCCGACAAAGAACTGGGCTTTGAGCCAGATGCCCAGGGCTAAGATGGAACTGCCTTAAAGTTTCTAGACTGACCTCTCAGGGCTTCAGTTTCCCTATCTGCGAAATGGGATCATAGGGAGGATCAACGGAGACAGTGGACCGAAGAGCATTCTGAGAACTCTGGAGGAACACCAGGGAGGAGAGGGGCTCTTCCAGTAGTTAGCTCTCACTGGAAAGCTCTTTTTTTGAGGCAGGGAGGGTACCGGGGATTGAACTCAGGGGCACTCAACACTGAGCCACCTTCCCAGCCCTATTTTGCATTTTATTTAGAGACAGGGTCTCACTGAGTTGCTTAGCGCCTAGCCATTGCTGAGGCTGCCTTTGAACTCACAATCTTCCTGCCTCAGCCCCCCAAGGCGCTGGGATTACAGGCCACCATGCTCAGCTTTTGGCAAGCTCTTGAAGGTCAGATGGGATTCGTTGTGAAGATCCACAGCAGCTGGGCTCTCAAAAGCTTTTTCTGCTTCCCCAAAGCCGGCCTCTGACAGGGCGCCTGTGTGGTGCTACCCAAGGGCCCTCGGGCTCCCCTTCCTGTTCTGGTCCACAGGAAGGTGATGTGGTCTGACTCAAACTGACTGGGTCTCCCCCTGGCCCAGTCCCTCCTGCGGCTCCCACTATTGCTTCGCCAGGATCCAAACCTTCGGTGACTGACCCCTGCCGGCCACCCAGCTGCAGCCCTGAGCAGCCCCACCTCCTTCTCTGCTCCTCCAGTCCCTATCCCCAGCTCACAGACTTGCCAAGCTCCTCTCCACCAGGAAGCCCTGGTTCCCGCCAACTCACACTCAGTCTGCAAACCCCTGCGGAGACGGCCTCCTCTGACATTGCAGCTTTGGGAATGGGTGGTCCTCACTCCTCGGTGCTCCCTCCGGGGCTCATACGTGTATCACTGTGACATCACACCTGCCTCCTGCTCCAGGGTGGCATCTTGGTGGGTTCGGTGGCCTGGAGCCTGGGTCACTGAGGGTGTGCAGGACTCACGAATGGCCAGGAACCTGTTGCAGATAATGTCACTCTCTTCCACTTCCCCAATTTTTGAACACATGGCCTCTTTACATCCCTAGCAGATGGCTAAGCCTGGCATAGAGCTCCCAGAATGGTACCCACCACCGGCCCACAGAGCGTGGTTGCTTTGGCTGAGAGTGGGTGGAATTAAGCATCCTAAATTAAGTCCGTTAGACTCCTGAGCATCTACTATGTCCCTGAGGCTCAGCTGGGATCATCAGGAGGGAAGAGGCATGAACAACTAATATGACTCTTGACCCCAAAGGGCTCACCATCCAGCGAGCCAACTTTCTTTTAAGTTTGAGACAAGAGCACAGAGCTAAGGTGAGAGCAGAGACATCAACAATGACACCAGAGGCAGCACAGTGACAACTGAACAACCATCTGGGTCCATCAAGGGCAGCAGCAAAGAGCCTCGGCAGTCCTGAAGGCCTGGCTGTGTTGTGGCATCACAGGGCAACACCTGCCTCCTGTGGATCTCTGCCAAGTCCCTCTGTGCCCCAGCCTGGGACAGTGGCAGCTAGCTGTGGAGAAAAGGGCAGTGGTGCCACCTCAAGCCAGGTCCCTCACCCAGGGCTTGTTCCCTGGACCACCTGGGAGTGGGAGGCATCACCGGGCTGGGCCTCTGGGTGGAGGTTGGGGGTCTTGGTTGAGGGAAGGGGAAACCCCTCTGCTGGTCCTTTCTGGGCAGTGAAGGGTGCCACCTTCAACCTCTCTGCTGATGGGACACAAGAACAGATGTCCCTGCTCATGCCCTAGTCACGGCTGAGGTGAGGTGCAGCGTGCCCTGCACTCTGGTGGTCAAGGTAGGAACTCCCGTGACCCACATCAGAAAGAGCACCAGCGCCAAGGCTGAAATAAAAAAGCTGTCAACAGTGAAGGACACCTTTATTCATCTGAAAATTCCTTTCTGTAAAACTACCTGTTGCCCTTGGGGCAGGATGAATGAGCCAACACGGGGCTGTGTAGGTGCCTGAGAGTGAGCATCAGACGTCCCTGTGCGTGCAGTTGGAGATCGGCACCAGGGCCCTTAGGCACAACCACAGGGCCCTGGACCCGATCCCCAGAGAACCCCTGGTGGCCTGGCCTGTCAGCAGAGACTGCCCCGGGGGCCTGCAGGGCTCTGGGCAGTGGAAAAGAGGTTTCCCGTCCCACCGTCCAGTGAGGAGACAAGCCTGATCTGCCTGGGACGGTCCGCGTTTGCGCTGTCTCTGCCCTCAAAGCTACCCGCTCTGGATGACAACTTACAGATTCACCCTCCCTGCCCTGTGACCTTGGGCCAGTCAGGGGACCTCACTTAGCTCCCTCGTGCACGACCAGGGGATGACGCACCCACAGCTCTGAGTCTGGCAGGGTCGTGTGGTGGGGGACTTGAGGGCCTCCATCTGTCGGGGGCCCTGCAGTCAGAGACCCCCAGGAGCGCAGCCTCGGTTGACAAGGCAGGTTCTCTCCTGTCATGGTGGGGATCCGGCACCCTGGGGACCAGGGACTTGCCCTCCGACCGGGGCTGGGCTGGGCGCTTCCAGACCCGGTGCCCTTGGGAAGCAGGTGAGTCCCGTGGCCAGGCGTCCTCATCCATCCTGCCCGGAAGGCAGAGCTCAGACGGAAGCCAAAGCTGCCACTGGCAAAGAGGAGGCTGCAGTCACCCTAGAGCCCAGAGGGCCGACTGTCCTTCCTGTGGCTTGGGCACTGTTTCTGATGGTCCCCTCCATGGTGACCGCCGAGTGCTCCTGCCTTCCTCAGCCTCCTGCTCCAGGAATCCCACTCTGGGGCCTGGTGGGGGCAGGGAGGGCCTGCTGGGAGCGGGGAGGGTACTGAGCTTGGCATTTGAGAGCAGGGGCTGTGGCTCTGTGAAGGAGAGGGCGGGTGGCCCTGCGTCCCCCCAGTTGCTCACTTGCCACCATGTCTGAACCCACCACGGGCTTCACCCCATGGCCATGCCAACGTCTAGTCCCCTCTAGGAATGCCAGCACCCCTGGATGTCCCTGGAGGTGGTCAAGTGACCTGGAGGTCCCAGGGGTGGGCAGGGGTGCCAAAAATGACCAGAGGAACCACCTTGGGATGGCAAAGATGGTCTGTGTGCCAGGGCCTGCTCCTGCTCACCCTCCTGTCAGCTCAGAGGGACTCAGACATCTCCACTCTCTGGAGCGGAAAAGGCCTTGCCAGGAAGGGTGGGCAAAGGAGGACGGTGACCCTGGGCACGGGGAGCTTGGGCTCTGCCCACTGCTGGCTGTGATCTTGGGCTTCACATCATCACCCCTCCCTCTCTATGTGTAATGAGGAAAAAGGGTCAAGATTCCATTTCCACGCCCAGCCCTTGGGTGCTGTGAGCTGGGCACATTCTCACACATACTTCTTCATCTGGTCCTCAAAATAGCCCTGGGGTGACAGATCTACTGACCCCCATGTTTCTTCTAAATCTCAGACTTGAGCACGAAAGGCCTGGGTTTGTGCTCAGCCCATGCCCATTCCCTGCTGTGTGAACTTGGACAAGTCACTGTCCCTCTCTGATTCTCAGTGCCCACTCAGATGCAGTGGGAAGGATAATACCTACCCCTGGGCTGCCCTGAAAACTTGCTGGGTACGACTCCTCTGCATAGCACAGGTACTCCAACAGGGGCAGTGTCCTTCCTCCCCTCCCAGGTTCCCATCTGCTCAGTGGGGATCACTTCTGTCCTGCTTATAAACGAGACAGCAGGCGATGGACCCACTAGGAAGAAGGCGTGTGTAGAAGTGCCAGGGCTGTGGGCAGCCAGCTAACGGGAGCTGAGACACAGGTCAAATACCTCCTGCAGGAAGCTGGGAGGGAGGGGGACCTGTGCAGCCACTGAGGGGCCAGCAGGAGTTCAGTTCCCTGGTCAGGTCAGGTGACCCTCCAGAGAGCTGGGAGCTTCCAGGACCAGCTCACTGAATTTGACCCTGGGAGAAGGGCATGGCGGGCAGGCTGGGACTCCAGCATAGGACCCCTGAGCTGGGCTGGCTCCCTGTGCACCGCTCCACACTGATTTCACCTCATTCCCACCACAGGCAAGGTCGGCGTATGGCCCCCACTTTGCAAGAAACCGAGGCTCAGGCTAAATAATTTGTCCATCGTTCCAGAGAAGGATTAAATGGAGGAGAGGACATCTAGCTGCAAGGGGTTCCCTTCCCAGTAGGAATTTTCCAGTAGCCCCAGGCTATTCTGACTCTAGTGCCAACAGGAGAGAGACCCACACCAACCGATCAGGCGGCCAGTTCCTCTGAGCACCTACTGCCCCTTGCCCTCTGCTTGTGCTGAGGGAGACACACCCTTGCTCCCACATCTTCTATGACTCCCTATTACCTCCCACACAAAGGTCAGATTCTTCGGGCTGAACTTCCAGGCCCTGTGGCCGTGTTAACTGGCCTTCCCCCATGAATCCACCACTTCCAGCCCTGTAGCACTGTAGACCCAAACTTGATGCCATCTGGCCTTTGCTTGGACTGTTCCCTCTGGATGCCCTTCACCCCATTCCCTTTCACCCCTCAAAGCCTGGCTCAAATTCCACCTGTTCCCTGGAGCCTGAGGCAGCCCCACTCTCCCCTCCCAGCCTCCAAGGATGGCTGTGTGTGCACCCAGCCTCCCCACCTGGATTGGGAGGTCTTTTTAGGACAGGGGCCTTGTTCTACCCATGTGTCTATCCCCAGGTCTTAGCCAAAGCAAGGAACAGTAGTGCTGGTGGGACAAAGGGAGCTGGACTGACCCGCTGTCCCCTCTGAAGGCTGCAGCCCAGGTGCACAGACTCCTGGCCTGTGGGGAGTGAGAGCACTGGCTTTGGAGTAATCAGCCCAGTTTTGAGACTAGGCTTCCCCACTGGGAAGTTCTGTGACTCTTACCAAGAGACTTCATCCTCTTGCCCTCAAATTCCTTACCCATAAAATGGAGATAATAATGTCCCCTTAGGAGACCTGTGTGAGGCCTGGATATGATCCTGCATATTGAGCACGCAGCCTGGTACCTGCAGAGCCCTCGGTGAACAGTGGTTATCACTGTGCTCATCGTTTGCCAAGATGAGGGGACTGCACACAGCATGGACATCGGGAGCCAGCACAGGCTTGAGGTTGGCATCCAAGTACTGTGTCATCAGCTTCCCCAATGCAGGTCAATGTCACCAGGGGAATCAGACTCTTCCAGGAAGCTCTAGAATCCAGCGTCCTAGAACCATCCTAAGAGAGGTCATGGAGGTCTGGTATGGCCTGAATTTGGAATAAGAAAGTGTTGACTCTAAAGCACAAAAGGGCTGGGGCTTTTGCTTTTTTCTAACCAGGTTATTAAGGATCCGAATAACCAGGTGGTTGCAAGCCAGGATTTAAACAGGCAGAGGGAAGGGACAAGGGCATCCCAGGCAGGGGTGTGACATGGACAAGCCCTGAAGGAGGGACGGGGGAAGAGGTGGCTCCCAAAACCTGGAGGAGGCTGGTCTGGCTGGAGTGGTAGAGGTCAAGGTCAAAGTGATAGAGGTCAAGGTCAGAGGGGGGCTCCTTGATTCAGTCTGATGAGCAATGGGGATCCACCAACAGTTCTTGAGCAGAGGAGTGATAGGTGCCAAAGGAACCAACCGGTTGGTGTGGTCAGCGCAGAGGGGAAGGACGCAGGCAGGGATCTGTCCTCTCCTAGGAAGTGAGCCCCAGCTTCTCCAAGAGGCCACTCATTCCTGGCCACTCTGAAGGGTCCATGAGGGAGGAAGAACTACTTGTGGGAAGGTCAGGAGCCCTGGCTCACCCACCACACTCAAGGACTGGCCTAGGGTAGACAGAGACGCTGGGGGTGGGGGGCAGCTCAGGACAAGTGTGGAGGGGGTGGAGAGGACACAGGGACCGGACCTGGATGGACTGTGGGCATTGTCCTGGAGTACACAGGAAGGCCCGGAGGTGGGGGACTGGAGTGACAAGGACATAAGTTTAGATTCTACAGAAGGAAAAGGACTTTATAACTCTCAGACCTGCCCAGCTGCCTGAAGGTTGCCTTGGTTGGAAAGATTGGTGATCTCACAAAAGAAACAAATGGAAACATGATCAACCTCAGGAATGGTCGGAAGAATGCAAATTAAAACAACAGGCAACTGTGTTTCACCCCCACACTGCGACATTCTGTGGACAAGAATAACTATGAGGATAGGTGGTGTGGGCAGACCAAGGAGGAACAGCGCCCTCTCTCACATGGCCAGTAGGAATCGAGATGATAGAAGTTTTGGGTTTGGCAACGCAGCAATACTGGAACCTGGCTCCACTTGATTCAGCCACTCCACATCCAGGAACTGCTCATGTATCCAATGCAAATAACTGGAGAAGTGTGCCAAAATGTGCTTCTTGTGGTATTAATAAGGATAGTTCAGATGTGGCAAGAATCCCAATATCCAGCAATAGATAAGCTCAGTAGCTACACTACAGCTATGCAAGGGGGTGCCTTCAGCCATTCAGAATGGCGAGCCGCGTGATGGAACCAAATCCACTTGAGCTCCCATTGTAGCACATATGAGAATTGTAATTACTCATTTCTTTGATGAATTTCTGTATGCCTTACTAGATGAGAGGCTCCTTGAAGGCAAGGACTTACTATGTTCACCATTATGTCCTCATTGTCTAGTTAAGGTCCTGGACTGCAGGATGCTGTCAATAAATAATTGTTAAATGAACCACGGAGTCTATATTTCTTCCCCCACCCCCACCCCAGGGTCCTGAGTATTGATCCAGGGGAGCTTACCACTGAGCTACATCCCCAGCACTTTTTTGCTTTTTACATTATTAGGAGACAGGGTCTCACCCAGTAGCTGGGATTACAGGTGTGCGCCACCGCACCTGGCCCCTGAGTCTGTATTTCTTGATGTGAAAAATTGTTAGGATCATGATTTGGATATCAGG